TTTTAACACTTTATTGGTGAAAGACCCTGGGTCTGCACACCTGCTGTGGATATTTATAGGGGGTTTTGCTTTCTCTGGTTGAGTTGGAGTATCCAAGATAACCCAGATGTTGATTCTGCCTGCTACCAAAATTATTTTTCTAGAAGTGAATATACAGTGATGTATTATACTACTCATGGCATGCCAATAATGTGTTTTTTTTTTTTTTTTTTTTTTTTTTTTTTTTGTTCTTTAGACCTTTACAAAAGCATTTTGGAAACAACCCTTACACCATCTGGAATCGATACAGCCAAGCTGTATCCAATTCTTTTGTCCTCTGGACTTCCTCGGGAAACACTGGGTCAGATTTGGGCAATGGCAAACCAAACTACTCCAGGAAAGCTGACAAAAGAAGAACTATATATTGTGCTTGCCATGATTGGTATCGCTCAGGTAAGACTGCTTCACTTTGTTTCAAAACAGTGTTAGGATTCAGTAGAATGCATGTCTTCTATTGTTTTGATTTCCTTTTTTCTTTTTTTTGTTGTGGTAGTGTGTCATATTCTGTAATACATATTAAATATCCAGACATTAAACCATTGTTAAAGCAAAACTGTGCTGTCCTTTTGTGACTTTCAGTCAGAACTCCAAAGAAATGAGATAAATACCGTATTTGCCGGCGTATAAGACGACTGGGCGTATAAGACGACCCCCTACTTTTCCTGTTAAAATATAGGGTTTGAGCTATACTCGCCGTATAAGACTACCCCTCTTCCAACGCACACCAAATAAAAATGAAAAAACATCAGATTTGATTTCAATATGGTATGGTATTTCAGTATGGTATTCCAATGATGGGGTGCTATTCCTCCCACTGACACCAATGATGGGGCATGATTCCTCCCACTGATACCAATGATGAGGCACTACTCCTCCCACTGACACTAATGGTGCCCCATCAGTAGTGTCAGTGTGTGAGGAATAGTGTCCCATCATTAGTGTCAGTGGGAGGAATAGTGCCCCATCATTGGTGTCAGTGGATGAAATAGTGCCCCATCATTAGTGTCAGTGGGAGGAATAGTGCCTCATCATTGGTATCAGTGGGAGGAATAGTGCCCCATCATTGGTGTCAGTGGGAGGAATAGTGCCCCATCATTAGTCAGTGGGAGGAATAGTGCCCTATCATTGGAGTCAGTGGGGGAGGAATGGTGCCCCATCATTGGTGTCAGTGGGGGAGGAATAGTGCCCCATCATTGGTGTCAGTGGGGGAGGAATAGTGCCCCATCATTGGTGTCAGTGGAGGAGGAATAGTGCCCCATCATTGGTGTCAGTGGGGGAGGAATAGTGCCCCATCATTGGTGTCAGTGGGGAGGAGGAATAGTGCCCCATCGTTAGTGTCAGTGGGGGAGAGGAGTGGCTGCTCCTTCTTTCAGTTCGGCAGCTTGATTTTCGCGGGGCCGTTCGCTCCGCTCCGCCTCCTCGCCGGTGATTGGTCGCCTGTGTGCGCTGGTGCCCAATCACCGGTGAGGAGGCGGAGCCGAGCGGCCGCGCGACCATCGAGCGGCCGAACTGAAAGAAGGAGCAGCTGCGCTTCCTGGACCAGATCATCGTGGGACCGGGACCGGAGCCAGGTGAGGTACAGCAGCCCCTCTGCCCACCCCTGTACTTAGGACACCGCCCCTGGAAAAAGTGCCACCCTGACACCGGCTCGCCGTATACCGGTGTATAAGACGACCCCCGACTTTTCAGAAGATTTTCAGGGGTTGAAAAGTCGTCTTATACGCCGGCAAATACGGTACTTTGTTCTTGTCCTTTTTTTGTTTGTTCGAGTTCTTCCGCCCTCCAGTGCCTAAAGCATGAAAAGATGGGTGGTCCCATGACTAGCATTAAGTGATTTGGCCTGTGCAAAACGCTCTAGAGAGTATTTACTGGCCAAACAAGTAAAAGTGATTTGTAAAATATAAGGCTTCTGGTTGGTTCTGACATGAATATAAGGCACCTTACTAAGGTGAACTCTTAAGATTTGCTCCGTTTAAATATTTGTAGTTCCAATTTGGCACACTCATATTGTAGTATTAGTTCAAAATGTGTTAATGAAGTTGAAGTAGTTGCAGTACAAGTAGATATTTTAGAAAGTAATTATGCTATTAAAGCATTATTTTGGTAAGATTCTGCATAGTGCTTATGTTCTCATAATACTGAAGCTGAAACCCAGCTTAGCACCTAAAGACACATTCAAAATACATACAGTAAATCTAAACTGATTTATGTGTCAAAACACTGGTATTGCTGCTCACTTTTGTGATTTTATACTCCCTATCACACTTCATATCCATGATATCATCAGTCCTGTATCGTGCAGCTTCTTTTGTACCTCCCTACCCATTGCATGTGTATATATGAGCATCATCACACTTTTTAAGATGCTTGTAGATTTTTGCTTACATTTGAGATCAGCTTGAGATGCATTTGAATTCCCAAAACCATTACGTTCAAGGTATACTATGAACAATAATTGTCAGTTTTTGTTGTCATGATCATACATGCAGGATCATGGCAACTGCTTGTCATACAGAAGCTATGATGGCAACTTGCTTGACTGTGAAGGATAGGAGAGTCTAGTTCTGCTTTAACATCAATATAAGTCAGAGCCTCATGTACAGTCTAGGCCTAGGACCTAACTGAATGCACAGGGAAATGGAATAGTATTGAAAACAAACAGGTTCATTAAACACCTGAGCTATTCCAGGACTGGTATTACCTTACAAATATTTTCAGATCCATATTAATAAAAATTTTTGGAAACTTTTGTTAATGCAGGCTACTTCTGTCAAGTGCAGTTATGAAAATATAATATTGCTCCTGCACTGCCTGGGCGCAGGAAGTAAACTGGTAGTTATGCTGAATGGCCTCAGCTGGCCTGTGTGCAAGAGACCCTATGATGGTGCTTATTTACTTTTTTTTTTTTTTCTTCAACAGTCTATACTGTATGCAGGTCAGATTTACAATACAATGCACCTCTGTAAAGATGTTAGATTGAAAAATGTGGTTCTCTTTTAGTTTCCTATTGTAACACCTACATATTTCTTTTGTTTTCATTGAAACAGAGGGGAGAATGTTCCTTGAATATGGATATACTGAGTCAGTATTCCTCAGCACCTATACCAACTCTAGGTAGCTTTGCAGTAAGTTTTCCCTCGGCTGTAGATCCGTTGCGTGGCGTATCTCCAAGGCTTGCTGCCTCTAAGCCTCTGGATGTTAGTCAGCCAGTGGTCACAATGAAGAAGAGTACACCAGCTCCTGCAGGAAATGTCACACTGCAGACTTTCATGCCACCAACCTTTACTCAGCCGGTAAGTATGTCGTCATATCTGAAAGGTAGCTCCTGCGTCATAGAATTATCTTTTTATTAACTTAATAATAGTAAATCCCAATAGAATTAACATGCTCCATGGTTTTAGGATATGTCTTCATTATTTTTTATTATTATTATGCAGTATTTATATAGCGCCAAAGGGTATGCTCAGCGCTGTACAGTAGCAGGGGGGACAGAACATGAGACAAGACAGTAACAATACAATACACGAGGGGTTCGAGGGCCCTGCTCTTTCGAGCTTACAATCTAGGATATTCTTTAATTCTAGCCAGGTGACTTGTTAGCACAGTGCTAACATGCAAATACAATAGGCATTCACAAGCTTAAATTTTTTTAGTAATGCAATTAAAAGAAAATTTGACTTAAAAGCATGTTAGATCATCCCATTCTCTTAGGAGCAATCAGCCTAGTTGGTTTCTGTGCTGTGTAGTGACCGTACAGTTTTGATTGTGCTTCTTGTACAACTAGTCCTGAGTGCTATGATTAGAACAAATAGACTGAGACACTTAGTTGCCCTACTGGATGACTATGTGTACAGGGTCATGGGTTTTTTTTTTTTTTTTTTTTTTTGGTTTTTTTTGCAGAAGCCAGAGAGTTAAATAATCTGAATCTTTCCTATATTTTCCTATATTTCTCAGGAACCCTGAGATCTCTGGGTGTCTTGCATATCTGCTGTGGCCATTATGAGTGGGTCCATATTTGATTTTTTAAAAATATATTTTATATTCTGGAGAATGCAACACTGTAAACTGGAACATGAAAAGTTGGAGACTGTTACAGGGTATCTGAAGCATGAAAAGATGGGTGGTAATGAGTTAAACTCTCCAGTGATCAAGAATAGGAGTTATAGCTGGGGGATCTCACTGTAGAGCTATCCAAGATATATAATACAGGAGTGGACTTGGCCAAAAGATTCCATCTATAACCAGAATATCACTTTTGCTGGACAATGCAGGAATAGCCTGGATGTGATCTTGGGGTGCTAAGTTCAATGTGGGGTGCTTTCCAGTCTCCCTCCCTAAAGTTTTGGTTGTTCTTTTCAGATCCAGAGCTACTGGTATTGATTCATCACTTGCTCTGTCTCTGAAGACACACTTAGTAAGTAGGTTAGTTAGGCCAAGCAGTTGGCAGCTACGTCACTTGTACCCACTTCCCGTGGGTTCTGCCGCAGAAGGAGTTAAAAGCTGTGAAACTGATTGCTGATGTAATTCGATGGGCGAAGTATTGTGTGTGTGCGCGCGTGCACGCACGCTCCGCGCCCTTTTCTGCAATACAGCATTGAAGAAGCATCTCTCTGCTGCTCCTGCCATGTGGAACTAAAGTCAGTTCCTGCTGCCTGCCTACAGTGACTTGGTCACCTCCAGTCATCTGATCTTCACCTGCTACCTGCTGTATGGGTTTCATGAATACTTGGTCTTGCCTCCTATTCTTGGCCTACCTTTTTCCTTACTGTCATGCAGTTGCAACATGTCTTACTCATAAAATAGACGGGACAGGTCCCACTGTATCTGGCTCACTCTCCACTTAACTGCTCCGTATCTACTTACAGGTTGCCTACTGATGGTATCAGTGTCTTCAGCCTGGAGTCATATTGCCCTCTGCTCCTGACCTTGCAGTCCTTTTTAGCTCTGTTGGTTATGGCTGGATCCTCTGCCCTTTGGCAAGATTGGCAATTTGACCAAAATCACCCAGTTATTTGCTGACTCTGATCACAAAGAGCACAAATGAATTCCCATGCCCTCTGTAATGGATTTTATGTTGGATTTTGCCTGCAGCACTAGCTGGAGCTGATCTAGCAGCCAGACTCTTGCCTGTTGCTTATTCACTCCTTGCCACCAAGGAGCTACAGTCTGCTGCTGTTACTCCCAAATTATAGGAGGCTGTTTTGAGTCTTATTGATGCAGTGCACCTTACTTTGAATCAGCCTGTTTCTTCTACCAGTGCTGTTTCCGAGTCATTTTAAAGCCGTATTAAACTCAAAAGCAAACTTTTTTTTTATATTGCATCTTACCACTTCTCACATGTGATGGCTGCATTAGTTTTTTTTTGTTCTGTTTTCATCTGGTGATCAGTTTACCTGGATGAGACAAACCATTTAACACTGGCAGTGGTGCTTTCAATGATCTGCTTTATTTTATTTAAAACCTTTATCCCAAAACTGGTGATAAAGTGTGATCTGAAGTTTGGCTTCAATTGTTTAGTGTATTTAAATCTGCTAGTACATATACCCCCCCCCCCTTTCCTCCTCCCCCCTCTAGACTGACAGTGTTGCTGTCTGCTGTGCCCCCTGTGCTTATTCATCTAAAGTGGGGATACTGTAATACAGGAGTTTTTGTTATTGGCCAGATCACCAGATGAAGACAGAGGGGGAAAAAAAGAAAACTAATGCAGCCACCACATCTATTGATTGGTAAGCTGCAGTATATACATTTTTTTTTTTGGGGGGGGGGGGGGGGGTTAATACTGCTTTAAACTAAGACCAGAAAGACTTTTTTTTTTTTTTTTTTCACCTCTTTTATTAAACTACTACTCTATGGAGTTTTGAAGCATCCTAGTACGTTAACAAGTGCCTGTCTTTAAAGATTCAGCCGATAAGCTACTGGAAGCCATTTCAAGAGCCGCTGTTCTTACTGGTGAGTCCTGCCCTTCTCCTGACCCTAGCTGTGATTTTACTTTGTATATTAATTTCTGATTGGTCAAAATCCCTTACAAAAAAATCTTGCTACTGCAAAGGGTTGATCCTTTAGTTTATTAAACTTGTGGAGCAGATGGCTATAGTTTGCTGGAATTCTCTTCATCTCTTGTATTTGTCTCATGTTAGTACATATGCATAGGGCACTTTGGCTTAGGTGGTGGACTATGGAACCCATGTACAAAAAGCAATTTATCCACATGGCCGCCAAGGGAAAAAAAACCAGTTCTTGAGAATATTGTCCAGGGTGCTACTGGTGCCTAGGGCACCTGTGTTTCTCAGCAGAAGAAACCACAAAAAACCTGTAAAGTTTTCTCCCTCTCTGAATGTTAAGGAACACCCCTCTCCATTTTCCACTTTTTTGTAACCTTTTTCAAGCTTTGCTCATCATCCAAGACCTAGAACTACAAGCATGTCAAATCTCCAGACTAATCTAATCGTCCTCTACATGAAGGTTTGCCCCCACTTTCCAGAGTGCGTGGACATCTTTTTACCTTTTTGAGGATACTTGGAGAGCTTTCATTTCAGATATTGGGTGTAGGATATCCCAGGGTCACAAAACTGGAGTTTCACTCCCTGCCCCTTCTCATTTTCTCCCCACTATCCTTAATGTGTCACTGTACAGACCAGCGGATATCCATCAAGCCCTTTTTGGGTCTTGTAAATCATGGTGTCATTGCCCCACAATAGTTTCCGGGTATTTACACCAAACTTCACTTTTCTCAAACCCAAAAGGAGCCATTCACCCAATTTTGGATTTCAAGGCTGTGAATATGTTTCCATTTGGGTCCTAAAATTCTAAATGGGATTCTTCAGATCGGTTTTCCCCTCCCTTCACTAGGAGCACTTTCTGGCTTCTGTGTAAATCAGAGATGCTTATTTGCATGTCTCAATCTTTCCAGCATATCAGCAAGTCCTATGCTTATCTGCGGGGGGGTCCCTACAGTATTGCACTTTGTGTGAACCTTGGGGCATCCACCCTAGGAGTTTCTCTGTGGGACAAATCCTTTCTATCCCGCAGCTGGGTTTGGATGAACATTTGACCCTCAGACAATTTGGGGAGGAATTCCCCCCAAAGGTTAAAGTCTTCCCGTGACTCTTAATGCTCTCTCTATTGCTTTGCTACAAAACTGAGCCATGCTGGTAGTAAGAGGGGGTTATCCTGGTCTGGCCCAGGGGTGGACTGACAACTCATGGGGCCCCTGGGCAATAGGGGATCATGGGGCCCCTGTGTCAAAGCACACCCTAAAAAGTCTATAAAAAAGGTAACGGGCATTTCATGGGGCCCCCTACTGACCCCGGGCCCTCAGGCAGTGCTCGAATGGTCAGTTAGCCCCTGGTCTGGCCTACAGTTTTTTTTGCCAGTGTCCAATACACCTGTAGGTGAAAGTGGGACAGTAAAACGTTGTGTCCCTCAGTGGACTGCAAAAAAATGTAATGCTTTCATTCCATTCTTATAGCGGAAGGTGGCAGATTTTTCCTGAATCCATGACCGTTTCTTTCTGCATCTACAATGTAGCACGTGCCAGATATTCTCCATTCCCATTTTCAGTGCTTACTTATATTAGAGTTTACCTTGGTCATGTGACAACAGTGTCTGCACTTCATTGGTGTGTTTACTAAATTGCAGAAGGTTGTGTCATTCTGCTTCAGTGGGGATACAAATATTAGCATGATTTGTCTGCGCTCATAGCCAATACAAAGGGCTTGTTTACTTCACAATATGCAGCATAATACATTATACAGTCCAATGTGGTGTTATTGTCACGTGAACCCCAACACATATTTACAGTATACTGTAAGACACCAGAGCTATAAACTTCACAAAACACAGATTTTTAATGATCTGTGCGTAAAATAGCTTAGACCTTTTTTTGTGGCCTTGTCAGGCCATTTAAAATAAATCCACTGCTTAACCCTACGCACTTCAACGCATGAAAATATGTTGCAGCACACTGCGTAGTGATCACAGTGGGCCCTAAATGGCATTGCATACCTCCTGAGAGTAAAATTTGTGAACTTCATACCTCCTTACTTACCTGAGGTTGCTGCAGCATTTCTTTGATTTTTTGGCTCAGTGTATGTGTAAGATTAATCCACATTGGTGGTATTTGGTGCTATGTAGAAATTTGCTCTGATACTGATGCCAGAATAGAAAAGTTATAAAAAAAAAAGCTATAGACAGGATTTTATAGATCAGTGTACTAGTAATTTGCTGAAAATTTTCATAAGATTTTGCTGGTCTAGTGAACAAAGCTTAAAGGATAAGTTCACCTGAACAAAATAAATACATAAAGCAGGTAAAAGTGTGCATTTATTATTTTAACTTTTTTTTTTTTTTTTTACTAGGAGCTTTAACAGCAAATCTGCTGATCGCGTGTTCCATACAGGACCCCTGCAGACCTGTCAGTGTGTCTGTGTGCTTGTACCCTGTACAGGCAAGCGCGCACACAGTGCCATGGTCGTTCTTTGAGAACTACAAGCTGACAGCCGCAAAGGCTGTCAGTACTTGCACTTTTATTGTGAATGAATGACACGGCCAGGCGTGCAGAGCCCTGCTCATCCTCGTTTTTTTAAACAGTGACAGCAAGCAGGGGGAGATGATCCCCCGCTAGCTGTCACTCTATGCAGCGGAACAGGCAGCAGCTCCGGCAGTGGGATCATGTTACATGTTCCACCCAAACAAAAAAAAGGGGGAACATATAACATGTTCCCAAAGGTAAACTTATTCTTTAAGTGGACGGTGATCTAAATGGGTCTTGTCTAGGTTCTGCCTTCAGTAACTCATCTCATCATTATGCCTTGTGCAGCTTTTCAAGCCAGAAGATGATGATTTCCAAGACTTTCAAGAGGCATCCAAATCTGGACCCATTGATGACTCTTTCCCTGATTTCCAAAGTGATATGTCCAAAATATCATCTTCATTGTTGAAGAGCAGGTAGCAAAATGTTTCTGTTGTACACTGCACTCCATAGGAATATTATACTGTATATACGTTTTGATAAACCTTTTCCTACATGCAGTATTGTGTTATTTTCATCATATACGAACAAATCATTTTTCATGCTGGTAATGTGGGCATATCGACATGTAGGTTGTAGTAAATCCCTCTACCCAGTCACATTTTAGTGTCCTGTGACCACATAATTTACAGAGCATCTTCAATAACAGAATTATGTAGTCTGCCATTACTGACCTCCAAAAAATGCTAGTGGCCTAGCTTTTTTTTGGCTCCAGTACTTTCTGAAATGCTAATAGATCTGTCTCAAGCTTGCATGTAATGGAAGCTCTGTGCTTGATGTGTTCTTCTGTAACCCACTTGACTATCTCTTCATAGTGTTTAAGTGCCTATGTATGTCACTGCGGCATATCTGTGCATCATTCTGGCATGCCGTTGATCCTGCAATTGTATTCTGTAGGATGCACTGCAGCATTTACAGGGAACGGAAGAATAAATCGGAAAGTACCTAAGAGATCATTTGAGGGAAACCTGTTCTAAAGTTCAGCTTTGTTTCAGTATTTTTATTAGGAAAGTTTTTTTTGTTTTTAAGAATATAACTAGCTCAAAATACGCCCAGAGACATCCTGCTGACTTGTCTTAGTCAAATAATGAAATGTCCAATGACTTCAAGAAGGGACGGCAAAAAGCCGAGCCAAATAGCAGCAGTAATCCAACATAATATCGGAAAAAAGAAAAAGAAAAAAAGAAAGGTTTAAAGAAAAGAAAAAAAAAAAAACATGAAAGAAGGAAAACTAGAGGGATCACGGATCTGGGGCTAGCACTGGCAGCAACTATAGGAGCCATAACTAGTAGGTGGCAGGGATGGTAAGGAATAACTTATCCAAGGTTCCCAAACCTTAAAGAATCTTGGATGAGAATCATGAAGAATGCTAGACATCTGTTCATTGATCAACATAGCATTCATCCGGGTCTTCACCCCCTGGAAGGCTACCGAAGGGGTTCTCCAAACTTGAGCTATAGTACGTTTGGCCGAAATGAATAGGTAGGATGCCAATTTCTGTTGAGACCTAGATAGACCCAAAATTGGGCAATGCAGGAGGGCCACCTTTGCATCCCTACGGACCGTAATATGAAATAGCTTTTGTAGCAAACCAAAAACCCTAGACCAGAAGCCTATCAGTCGCGGGCACGACCACCAAATGTGCAAGACGTCCCCGCGTAGACCACAGTTCCGGAAACTCCTATCTCTGCCAGTCGGATTAAAGTGAGCAGTCCAAGCCGGGACCCAGTAGCACCGCAGTAGAACTTTGTAGGCTGCCTCAAGAGTGACTGTATTGAATGAACATTTCGCCACCGTCCCCTAGGCCAGTCCTCTGCCGCAATCGAAACGCCCAGATCTCACTCCCTTTGAGAGACATAAGACAGGGGTGATGAGGAAGACCTACTGTTAAGGGAGGCATAAATTACAGAAATGAGACCAGGGGACCCTGGGGAATGTTGACAAGCGTGTTCAAAGGGCGTTTTGCGATAAGGATATGTAGAGGTATGACGGAGGGATAGGACCCAGTGGTGCAATTGCAAATACCGATAATATTCGCATGGCGGGACCCCCCTTGATTCTCAAAGAGACTCCCAAGATGGAAGCATACGAGTGCTCAGAAAATCGTGTACAATAACAAAGCCATGGGAGGTCCACTAAGAGAAAGAAGGGGGATGTTCTAGGCCTGGCGTAATAAAGGATTGTGTTATCGGCAAAAGAGGTAAAAATGACTAAATCAAATTACTCGAATATTTTACAGAATCCCAGGTTCTTAAACTGTGAAGCATGATAGGGCTCAAATCCGGAGGGCGCAACTTAGGTGGGAGTCAAAGCAACGTAGTTAAGGAAAGCGGAGAAAAGTTGGGTAACTCCAAGAGTACCCATAACGGGATATCAGTCGTGGCATGAAGCATAGACAACTGGGAAATCTGAGCCACCAAATAGTATCTAGAAATGTGTGGAACTGCCAAACCTCCATGTAAACTAGGAGTATAGAGAGTAGCTCTAGGCACTCCTGGGACGTTTCTGAGCCCAAATAAAACTGAGAATCCGGCTCTGTAGTACACGAAGAAAAGATGCAGGGAGAGTACGGAAAAAGTACAGGTTCTTCGGCAGGATATTCATCTTAACAGCATGTATCCGGCCAATCCATGATAAAGCTGGAAACTGCCGAGAATGAAGCAGGGAAGTAACAGAGCGCAGTATGGGGTAATAATAATTATAATTAGCCGAAAATAAGGCAGAGTAGGAGGAAGTAAGTGTAACGCCAAGATAAGCCAGAGAATGAGATGCCGAACGGTAGGGAAATTGTGTCTGCAACCGTTCAACCAGGTCAGCAGGGAGTGTAATATTCAATTCCGTGGTTTTAGACAAATTGATGCAAAAGCCAGATATAGTCGAAAAACGGTCCAATATGACCTGGATATTGGGGAGAGTGATGAGGGTTGGTTAAAACTAAAAAGGCATCATCCACATAAAGGTTAGCCTTGTATTGAGTGCCCGCATAGGGACACCAGAAATATCCAGGTGATTTTGAATGGCTGCAGCTAAAGGTTCAAGAGCGAGAACAAAAAGAGCAGGTGATAATGGGCATCCCTGTCTCATGCCCCTGAAAATAGGGAAGGATGAGGGAAAAAAAAACCCTGCATATTTAACAGAGGCCGAGGGAGACGAATATAAAGCCGAGATCCAAGCCAGAAATGCATCACCAAACCCCCATCTAGACAGCGCATATGTCAAATTTTCCCAAGCAAGTGAGTCGAACGCTTTATAAATGTCTAGGGATAAAAGAAACCCAGGTATCTTGCGGTGATGTAAAATATGAATGAGATAGATGACTTTATGGATGTTATCAGCAGCTTGTCGCCCCGGAACGCAGCCAACCTGAACTTGATGAATAAGTGAGAGTAGATACTTATTAATTCGGGTGCTCAGAATCTTTCCCAGAATCTTCAAGTCCACGTTTAGCAGCAAGATCGGTCTGAAAGCTTGCGGGTCAAAGGCATCTTCAGCTTTCTTAGGGATCATAGTAATGTGCGCCTGAAGAGACTCCAAAGAAAGCCGAAAACCCTGCTTCAAAGAATTTGAAAGGCCATCAAATGAGGAACCAGAACGGTGGCAAATTTTTTATAATAGAGCCCAGAAAACCCATCTGGGCCTGGAGCTTTGGAGGCCTTCAAAGATTTGATGGCTTGGTAGAGTTCAGATTCAGAAATATCCACATACAGGGCATCTCGGGCTGTGTCGGATAAAGAGGGTAGTCATAGTTAAGCAAAAAAGCTATCGGCATGTTCAGCGACAAAGGTGTTCGGTTTTTGGTAAAGAGAGGACAAAAAATCTATGAGTAATCTTCACAGGGTCTGAGGTAAGGCCACCGCCCCTCATGCAGAGTTGAACAGGTTTATACGTGCTACCAAGTGAATTAAGTTTCTTGGCCAACATTGGCCCCGGTTTATTGGCGCAGGTATAAAACCTATGTCCGGCCCAACGTAAGGCCTTCTCAGCTCGTGTAGTGGAGAGAAGATCAAGTTCAGCAGCCACCACATCTCGAGCTTTCCTATTGGCCGTAGCCAGGCAGGCTTTCCAAGTAGCGTCCACCACGGCCAATATCGAGGTCAATTCCAACATCTTCTTCTCTCTGGCCCATTTCCTGGACGAGGCAATTTGAATCAGATGACCCCTAATGGTAGCTTTTGTGAGCCTCCCACAGTGAAACTGTTGAGGAAACAGAACCCACATTGTCCATAAAATAGGATTGAATGTGCGAAAGAACCTGGGAAAGAAGCCTGAGCAGGGATTCATTGAGTCTCCACAGAAAAGAGGGCCGAGCCATACCAGAAAGACACAGTGAAAAGATCAGTGGGTCATGATCAGACCAGGGTGAGGTCGAGATGACAATCTTTTGAATTAAAGATAAATGTTGGAAGGAAATGAAAACATGATCTATTCTACAAAAGCTCAAGTGGGGGACCGAATAAAAAGTGTATTCCCACGACGTAGGGTGCATTTCCCGGTAGACATCAACCAAACCATAAGCTTGCAGCGTAGCACGCAATTTAGATTCCTGAGAGAGGTTGTGGCTAGGGGTCCCTCCCATCGGGTAATGGCGATTGACAGAGGAATTAAGAGCAACATTCGAGTCGCCCAGCAATAAGAGGATACCACGTTGGTGGTGCGAAATCACCTTCAGTAAGTGAGAAAAAAATTTGTGTTGAAATCTATTTGGCGCGTAATAACCCACCAGGGTCACCTCCTGATCCCAAAGGGATCTACCGGTGGGGTCAGCTATTTCCAGGTTGCAGGTAAACGGCAGATTGTGTCTAAAAGCAATCACCACGCCCCTATGCTTTTCAAGGGCCGAAGCAGAGAAAAAGGTCGGAAAATGGTGGGAGAGGTAGCGCGGCACGGAGGATTGAGAAAACCTGGTCTCCTGTAGGCAGACCACGTCCACGTCTTGGGAATTAAGATGATGAAACACTCTTGAACGCTTGGTTGGAGAATTAAAACCATGGATATTTTGAGAGAAAATCTTCAAAGGTTTTAAAGCCATACTGAGTCAAGGGAATTCAGCTGCCCAAGTACGCAAGGAATAACAGTCCAATCCTCAAATGCAGCCTTACCCTGGGCTGCCCCGGTTCCGTGAGAAAAAAGAAAAAAAACTAACGAAAAACGAGACATAAGAAGAAAATGTACACTCTAAGGTAGTGTACCGAAACCACACTCAGTGGAAATTGCGTCCTACCTACCGGTAAGGACACACTCGCTCAGACTTCCACCCCACCTAGCATTCCTCACACTAAAACCCCCTCAACACTCCACTCCTTCGACCTCGCTACCACTTAAGAGGTCACTAAGGTCTTCTCTGAAGCCTGCCTCACCACCTACCCCCTTGACCTGTCCCCTCACAACTCCTACGATCACTCTCTTCCTCCATCCTACGCTCTCTCACACTCATCTTTAATCTTTCCCTCTCTACTGGCACATTCCCCCTCCCCTCTAAAACACGCGCACATCACGCCCATACTTAAAAAAACCCTCCCTGGATCCCACCGACCTGAACAACCTTAGACCCATCTCCCTGCTGCCATTTACATCCAAACTCCTAGAGCGCTTAGTTTATAATCACCTGAGTTCCCACCTCACCGACAACAACCTCCTTGATCCCCTACAGTCTGGCTTCCACCCCCTACACTCCACTGAAACTGCCCTACTCAAACTCACCAACGACCTGCTAACCGCCAAAGCTAATGGCCACTATTCCGTGCTCCTACTCCTCGACCTCTCTGTGGCTTTTGACACGGTTGACCTCCTCAAACTACACTCTCTTGGCCTCAGAGACTCTGTTCTCTCCTGGTTCTGTTCCTATCTATCACAGCGCTCCTTCAGTGTTACCTATAACGCTGCCACCTCCTCTTCACTCCCCCTCTCTGTTGGGGTCCCTCAAGGTTCTGTCCTCGGGCCCCTTCTCTTCTCCATCTACACCTCTTCCCTTGGCCAGTTGATACTCTCACGGCTTCAACTACCATCTCTATGCCGATGACACGCAAATCTATCTCTCTACCCCTCACCTCACCCCTTCAGTCTCCGCCCGTATCACAAGCCTACTGACCGACATATTGGATTGGATGTCACTCCACTTCCTCAAACTAAATCTTTCCAAAACTGAGCTCCTAGTTTTCCCCCCAGCCCGCCCCCCCCCCAACTTCTCCATCAAGACCAATAACACCACCATCAGTCCCTCCCCTCAAGCCAGAGTACTAGGTGTCATCCTAGACTCCAATCTGTCCTTCCACCCCAGGTCCATTCGCTGACAAACTCATGTAGACTTCACCTCCGCAACATCTCCAAAATACATCCGTTCCTTACCCCGGAAACCACTAAGAAACTCATTCATTCACTCCCTCATATCACGCCTCGACTACTGTAACTCCCTCCTCATCGGCTTACCTCACCGCAGGCTATCCTCGCTTCAGTCTATCTTGAATGCTGCGGCCAGACTCATCCACCTTACTAACCGCTCCATATCTGCCACCCCTCTCTGCCAATCCCTCACTGGCTTCCGATTGCCCAGTGGATAAAATTCAAAATGCTAACATTGACAAGCTGTTCATAATACTGCCCCAAACTACATCACCAAGCTGGTATCCAAATACCACCCAAAACGTACTCTCCGCTCCTCACAAGACCTACTCTCTAGTTCCCTGGTCTCCTCCTCCCATGCCCGTCTCCAGGACTTCTTCAGGGCTTTCCCCATTCTCTGGAACTCTCTACCCCAATCCATCAGACTATCGCCTACTCTCCTCACTTTTAGGCGCACTCTGAAAGCCCATCTCTTCAGGGAAGCCTACCCCGCCCTCAGCTAATTACTGAACTCCTCCACTCTTCCTGCCACTCCATCACCCACAGCTATTTCCTCCTGTACCACTATCCCCTCCCTCCTAGATTGTAAGCTCCAAGGAGCAGGGCCCTTGAACCCCTCGTGTATTGAATTGTATTGTTGCTGTACTGTCTCGTGTACTGTCTCCCATTATAATGTTCAGCACTGAGCAAACTGTTGGCGCTATATAAATCCTGTATAATAATAATAATATGGGTGTGTCATAAACAACATAATACTAAAAGAACCTTTATTGGGAGGGGAAGGGAAAAGGGGAAGGAAAAAAAAAAGGGGGGGGGGGGAACAAAACAAGCAAAAAGACGTCAAGTACATTACCTTTAATAATGCATAATATGACACCATAACACACAAAATGTAAACAGGTACACAAACATATCAGCAGAATAGAAATAAGGCGTTCACGGGTCACAGCCCTGTTAGATCGGAAGCCGGCACCAATCATATAAGGCATAGGACCATGAGTCAAAGAGGTACAATAACCCCCCCCCCCCCCCCCCCCCCCCCCCAAAAAAAAAAAAACATCGAACGATTTTCTCTTTGTTGATGAGCAGGATGTTTTAACTGATAACGATATTCTGAACGAAAAAATCCGGTTGAACAAGCAAGTGAAAATTTTTGTTGTTTCGCATCTGAATGACCGATTTTCTCTGTGGTGGTATGACGGTCATACAAAAAAAATCTATCAAGCGCTGTCGTGCATGGAGCGGAAACAGAAGATGACCGGATGTTTATGTCCAAGGAATCTTTGTAAACACGAATGAAAAATCCAAATGTTAAAAGTAGATTTGCCTAATGAGATAATGAAACCAGAATTATGCATATTAAATTTTATGTATCACTATTTATGTATATAGGTAATGTAATAAACTATATTATACTCATTGCTGTTAATTGTGTATATCGCTCGTTCTGGCTGGAAGGGCAAGGCTACAAGTTCACACTGCATCACTTCCACTTGTACGGAAGACGTCAACACTATGTATTGCCCGTCGAACGATTTTTTTTTTAGATTGGTTAATGTGGACCACGATTTTGACCAATGAATGAACGCCTCTCGGTCATTGGATGACCGATCGGTCGATTTCTAACTGTGTATTCCCACCTTAGGGCACTTTAAATATGACCAATGTTATAATAATGAATATACCAATGGTTTACTTTAGATATGTTGCATTTAGCATACATTTTTAAAATTGCTAGTCTTTCTTTCCATGCATTATTTTGGAGATGTAAAAATATTGTAACATCGACTTTGTTTTTGCACAGTGCTCCGCCTTTGCTTATGCCAGTGTCTGGAACACAATCATCTGTAGCTCCTGTGGTTGATAAATATGCAGTATTTAAAACCATCAATGTGGACCGCAAACTGGAAAGCACAAGTACTTTCTCAGGTAAGGCCCATGTTTTAAAAAAAAAACAAACAAAAAAAAAAACTGCGTAAGTATTGTATTCTGCTTAAATCGGTTTTTCAGAATTAAAAATTGATTATTTCAACTGTTTATCACTGTAGTCATCAGTTCTTCTGTATCCCCTGCTGATTGCTATGGGCACTGCACTTTCCCACTGAAACATTGACCCAGCTACAGACTTTAAGACTTCTATGAATTATTGCAAATTGATTCAGGACACAAATCAAGTGTGTAAAAGGTATTCATTTCCTTAGAAAATCATTGGTATTCCAGCTTAACGCGAGCTACTCTTAAAACTGCCCCTCCTAACACCGATGCTTACTAACGTGTATTTTCAGCTCTCTCCGATCCAGTCATGTGATCTCCCCTGTGTCAGCCAACAGCAGCTGCAGGGAGAGAGGAGGGAGTGCTCCGATAACAGTTAGTAAAGCCTGGAGTAGTGACATCGCCCATAGGCGTCAATTGCTCATCTGCTCAGTGTTCCCTTCTCTCCCCCTGAAGCTGCAGTGGCTGACACATGGAAACTGGATCACGTAACTGGGCCTGAATATAGGTAAGTATATACATCTTTCTTACACAGGTTGGTTATCTTTTTTTCTTTTTAAAAGAAAAGCCATGCCAGGGAATAGACATCACAGCATGGATGATACTTTTGTTAGCCAGAAAAACCTGTTTGATTTAGTTGTACCTTTTTATTACTAGTGCCTAAATGACCTTACTTTTCTTGATAAACTCCACCAACTACCATCTCTCTGTACAATGGGTTTTTTTTTCAGTCACCGAGTTAGTCTTTCAGTGAAAATGCAGCTGCAGCGCATGAAGTCAGCGGAAGCCAGGCCCCAGTAGTAAAGTGAAACTAAATGATGGGGCACAGATGATGCCTTTCTGACTACTGAAGGAGCCCTGTGCTCTCTGCTGCTAGGCAGAACTTTAACAGTTAGGTTTAAAGAACTGTGTTGAAGGGTTTTTGTTTGCATTCATACAAGTATGAGAATGCAAACCCCCCCCCCCCCCCTTGAAGTAAGTCAGTTGCAGGTCAAACAGGAGGCCGCATGCACCTGTCAAGGAATTTTTAATGATTTCAAAAGCATGTCAAACTGATGCCATTGACACAAGCCCATAGTTCATCAACACAGGCCCTAAGATGGAGTATAGGTTCACTTGAAAGTGGTATACTACCTTTGCAGCTGCTACAGTACAAGAATAGACTACCATAAGAGAATTTATTCTCTCATAGCGAGGGTGGTTTTCCGTATTTTTCTCATAAGTTGAGAGTTGTAAAGAGCTATTTATACTAATAACGTCTGAATAAACCCCGCAGTAAAGTCTGCTTAATCGCTTGCCCGACCACCCACAGTACTTTTACTGTAGCATTAAATATATATTAATTTTTTATTTTTTTTTTGCATTTTCAGGGGGGAGTTCGACCGCCCTACCTGCACTGCTGATCATGGCTGCGGGTGTCAATCAGCGGGTCCCGGTCGGTGTTTACAATGCAGCCCTCCTCCCTGTCAGTTTGGGCACACTGATCAGGATGACTGAGCACAGCCATCCTGATCAGTGTGCTTACAGTGATGCACACACCCCCTGCCCCCTAGTAAAAACACTCCCATCACACAGTTAACCCTTTGCCTCCAAATGTTAACCCCTTCCTCCCCACTGCCATTAGTACAGTGACAGTGCTTTTTTTGCACTGATCACTGTCTTGGTGTCACTGGGGATGTCAGTGACCCCAAGTCAGTCGTCCCCCCGTGTCAGAATGTCCGCCATAGTCCCGCCATAAGTTGCTGATCGTCACCATTGTTAGTATAAAAAAAAAAAAAAATCTATACCGCCATTTGTAAACACTATATCTTTCACGTAAACCAATTCATTTACACATAATGAGTCCCCTTTTTTTTTTTTTTTTTTTTTTTTTTTCCTTAGCAAAGACATGCCACAGAATACATTTTGGACAAAATTTATGACTATTTGATTTATATTTTTTTTTTTAGTGGATGTGTGTTATAGCAAAAAGTCCAAAATACTGTTTGTTTGTTTTTTTTGTTTTTTTTTCAATAGCGCAAAAAATAGAAACCGCACAGGCGGTCAAATACCGCCGAAAGAAAGCTCAATTTGTGGGAAAAAAAGGACATACGTTTCACTTGGGTGCAGCGTTGCATGACTGTGCAATTGTCAATTAAAGTAACACAGTACCATAACACGAACTGCTTCTGTAACCGTTTCCTGACCCTGGCCCTATAGCAGAAACAGTGCTACAGTGCGACACGGGAGCGCAAAATCACTTGTGTGTATATATACGTGATTATACCAGCGATCACATTAGTATAGTGTCCCCAAAAAATGCAGTGTTAGCGGGATCAGCCCCTATGCTTACTCACCCCCTTCTTCCCCAGCAAGTGCAGTGTCAGTAGGTCACTGTCACTTGATACATTGCACACAAAACCGCAGTGTTCGCAGAATCAGCACCCGTACTTCACCCATTCACTGCCCAACCTGGAATTCGGGTGGAAACCGCAAATTTAACTACTCCCCCTTTTTTTTGATTTTTTTTTTTTTTTTTTTTTGGAGCTTTTTTTCCCGGAAGATTTGTATGCATTCATTGTGAATCAAAGCAATTTATATGCTCAACAATTTATCGCTGCCAACCCAAATTCAAACGAGAATACATGGTGCCCTTTAGTACTTACAATGTAAACTAATTGAGGTCTCTCTGCCAGACCATTCGCGTGAAAACCCATTACAGTTTCCAGATTTAAATTTTTTTGGGGCCTAACCCTCAACATGGGCATTACCAAAAAAAATGAATTGCAGTTGTATTGGTCCACAGACCCGATTCATAATATACCCGTGTTCTCTGCTGCCATGGCATAGATATGAGAGTATATTGTGTTTTATGCATTTCAACGCCAACACACTCTGTCGTCCTCAGGGTGACCCTGAATTTGACCGGCTCCACAAAATTCGGCCCCTCGTAAATCACCTTTTTTCATTAATTTTTATGGCCACCTTGCATTCAAACAATTTCTCCCCAGAAAGTGTGCCAGATATGGGGTCAAGATGTATAAGACCTGTGAGAGGGCAACAGGCTATACATATGTTTCGGATTTACAAGAGAAAAGATGTCACGTGGAGCCCCCCGGATGCCCAGACTACATGGGGAGTAGTGGCAAGATAGTTTGGAACTTGGTGTCATCCTTTTTCCATATGGGGGGTACCTCTTATACATGGACCATTTTTATTCAAGCATGCCACTGTTTAGACATTTGTACAATCTTGGAATTGGCGCATGTGGCACCGTGTGACCTAATGTGTGCCCACCATTAGAAGTGGGTGGATGCAGGGCATTATATTCTAATGGTGGGCATACCACACACTTTTTTTTCTGGCAGAGATTTCTTTTTTTTTTTTTTTTTTCTTTCAGCCCACAGGATGCATACAAAAAAAAAAAAACAACAAAAAAAAAAAGCATAGCATATATATCCAACAAGGACCAGCGACGTACTGGTACATCACTGGTCTTTGAATTGGTTATACCAGTATGATGCCTACAGCTGCAGGCATCATCCTGGTATCATTTTTTGTTTCAGCCAAATGACCATAGACCGGAATGGTGCCAATCATCTCTGTAGCGGAAGCTACAAGCATTTCATCACTTCAGTCTTGCAAGATATAATCAGCGCCATTTGTAAATTGGGAAAGCATCTGATCACACCAATCTTGGTGAGATTAGATATCGCCTCTGCCCTTACAATATCTAGACCACAGATTTCACAAAAAAGAATATGACAATGCCCATTCAAGTTTTATAGGTGATATTTCCATTCCCTGTGATAGGATTAAAAGTGATTAAAAAAAAAAACATTAAAGGGATGGTGTAAAAATAATTAAAGGAAAAAGAAAAGCACCCTCGCCACCCCCCCACACGCGTACGCATGCACCTGTGTGCGTGAGCGTTGACCCTCTGCCGGTTTGTAAACGGGTTGCACCATGCATGTGAGGTATGCTGCGAACGTCAGATGAAGAGCAGTAATTCTGACACTAGACCTCCACTGTAAAAGCCTTTACAAGCTACCATTTTGCCTAAAATACTGTATAGATTTCAAATGGTACCAATTAAAATTCCAGAAGCCTTCTTTAAGATAATGAAAAAAATGTTAAGATACATATGGAAGAATAAAAAACCTAAAATAGCATATGAAACATTGAGTAGGACTAAAGAGAAAGGGGGATTGGGTCTACCAGATGTCAAGAGATACTATAAAGCAGTGGTTTTAGCAAGAATATATGACTGGACATTTAACCATAAGGGGAAAAGTTGGGTAACAATTGAAAATGATCTTAGTGGCATTAGATTGAGTCAGATGATATGGGTCCCACCACAGTTCAGGGGAATTAAAGAAAGCACAAGTATCTACACTTTAAATGTCTTTAGGGTATGGGACAATTTACACAAAAACATGAAATGGGAATTTAATTCTATATTAATGCCTCTCACAAATACTGAGTACTTTCCCCCGGGAAAGAATAAGATATCAGGGAGATGGTTTAGAAAGGAGGATACCCAACTGAGAGATGTTTTGGTGGAGGGGGAATTGAGATCACTTAAAGATTTAATAGAGAAGAAGGGAGATATTTTTATTAGAATAGATGAGTGGAAATATCATCAATTGAAATGTTTTATTGGAAATCTACCGAAACCCCTGAGAATAAAACAGGAGTGGAATATGTTTGAAAGGTTGTTAGAGACACGAAGGGATGGGAAGCACGGTATTTCAAAAGTGTATAGAATACTCACAGAATTAGACACAAACACAAAGTTAATTTTTATTACAAAATGGGAAAGGGATATGGGAGTTGGGTTTGATGAAGATAGACAGAGAAAGATGTTTAGATTGATACACGATAATGTTAGTATGAGAGAGGTTGAGGGTGAGCCAAAATTTATTCCGTTATCTTTTTAGTAAAAAAAAAAAAAATCCAAATTAGTTTATAAGCAAAAATTATAATTTTTTAAACATTTTTTTTTTACATTTTTTTTTTTTTTTTTTTATATTTTTTATTTTTTTATTTTTTTTTTTATATACTGTCACCCTAGCAGTACAGTGTCACCATGGTGACACTGTACTACTTGTGAGGGGTGATAAAGATTTTTTTTTTTTTTTTTACACTGATTGCTTTTACATCCTATATGGGTGTAAAAGCAATCATTTCTCTTTCTCTCTGTGTGCATTCTTGCACTCATTGAGAAATACAGAGTGAGCTGTGATTGGTCACAGCTTGTCACATGGTACAAGGCTTTTGTGAATAGCCTTGTACCATGTGACCTCTGTGATCATTCACAGATTTCACACATAGTAAGCAATGATGTCAGAAGTGACATCTTGCTTACTACTTTGCATGTGATCACTGATTGGCCAATCAGTGATCACATGATCGGGACCTCGTACAGAGGGTCCCGTCCGACGATCGGTGTTTCACTGTGTCCGGAGGACACAGCGGGCACCGGATCGCGGTGCTGCGCGCTCCCAGGGAGCGCGCACAAGCGTTTATAGACAGCCACCTGACCCTGCAGTGCCACCGTCCGGCCGTTTATATACAATGTATGCAGTTTGTCGCCATTGCACGGGGCATGCGCAGTTTTAAAGCATGTCATGTTTGGTATCCATTTACTTGGCCAATTATTTGGAAAAATATAAAAGATGATGGTATGCCAATATATTGTGTTTTTGTGCATTAAAAGTAAAAAAAGTGTATTTTTTTGCAAAACATCTGCATTTGAAAAATCACTGTGCGAGTACTATGTGACATAAAAAATTGCAGCACCCACCATTTTATTCACTAGGGTGTCTGCTTTAAAAAACTATATAATGTTTTGGGGTTCAAAGAATTTCCTAGCAAAAAATACTGATTTTTTTTTTTTTTTCACGGGAACAAAGTGTCAGAAAAGGCTTGGTCTTCAGGTGGTTAGAAGAATGAATGATGTGTGGCATAAACTTCTAATAAACTTCTAAAGTGTCAGAAAAGGCTTGGTCTTCAGGTGGTTAGAAGAATGAATGATGTGTGGCATAAACTTCTAATGCTGAGCATAAAATGCCCCCACCGCCCAAAACAACTTCTTTTTTGGAACGTAGACACCCCAAACCATTTGCTGAGAAGCATGTTGAGTCAATAGAAGAATTTTATTTTTTGACCAAGTTTTTGGAAAATGACAAAAAAAAGTTTGTTTTTATTTATTTTTTTTTTTTTTACACACAATTTGTCTCTTAAACGATTTATTGCTCACACGTGCCATGGGTATATGTGTAATTGCTCCCTTAAATACATTCTGCTACTTCTCCTGAGAAGGGGGTCCCGAATATGGGGCTTTATTTCCTCATTACACTTCCTGACTATCACAGTTTTGGAGGCCCTGAAATGCCAGGATAGCACCAAACCCCCCCAAATGACCCCTTTTTTGGAAAGTGGACTCCCCAAAGAATTTGATAAGAATCATGTTGAGTATTTTGCATATCTCGTTTGTTGCCCCAAGTTTTTGGAAAATGAAGAAAGAAAACAAAAACATATTTTTCCTTTTTTTTATATTTCAAAACCTTTTGAGAAAATTAGATTTGCAAAATACTCACCATGCCTCTTTTTAAATTCCTTGGGGTATCTACTTTCCAAAAAGGGGTCCTTTGGGGGGGTTTGGTGCTATCCTGGCATTTCAGGGCCTCCGAAACTGTAATGGGTGAGGGAAGTTACGCACCTTCCGGCTTTCAAAGTGGTCATTGGATTTTAGGCTCCTGTATGTGGCTAGGCTCCCAAAGTGTCTCGCATGTGGTATTCCCATACTCAGTAGAAGTAGCAGAATGTATTTTTGGGGTGTAATTCCACATATACCCATGGCATGTGTGAGAAATATTCATTTAAATAACAACTTTTGTGTTAAAAAAAAAAAAAAAAAAAAAAGTTTTTTTCACTTTCCAAAAACTTGTGGGGGAAAAAAAAATAAATCTTCCATGGACTCAATATGCCTCTCAGCACATAGCTTAGGGTGTCTACTTTCAGAAAAGGGGTCATTTGGGGGTGTTTGTACTATCCTGGTATTTTTATCACCTCAAATGTGTTAGGCAGTCAGAAAGTAAAAGCTGTGTAAATTGCATGACTGTGCAATTTATCAGTTGAAATAGTGCAGCGCCGAATAGCAAAAAGAGGCCTAGTCATTAACCACTTCCCATCCGGCCGTTGTATATAAACGGCCCGGACAGTGGGAGTGCAGGGGTGGGAGGTCATTGACCTCCGGACACAGTGGAACACCGATCATTGTACAGGACCTCTGTGCGAGGTATCGATCGTGATCACTGATTGGCCAATCAGTGATCACATGCAGAGTAGTAAGCAAGAGGTCACTTCTGACATCATTGCTTACTACGTGTGAAATCTGTGAATGATCACAGAGGTCACATGGTACAAGGCTATTCACAACAGCCTTGCACCATGTGACAAGCTGTGACCAATCACAGCTCACACAGTATTTCTGAATGGCTGCAAGAATGCAGCCAGAGAGAAGGAAAAATGATTGCTTTTACAGTCTTTATGGGTGTAAAAGCAATCCATGTAAAAAAAAAAAAAAAAAAAAAAAATATTCATAACCCCCCCCCCCCACAAGTAGTAAAAATGTCACCATGGTAACATTGTACTGCTAGGGTGACAGTATGTAAAAAAAAACAAACAAATATTTTAAAAAAAATTTTTTACAATTTTTTATTTTTTTAAAATGATATTTTTGGTTAGAAACTAATTTGGTATGTTTTGTTAAAAAAAAAAAAAAAAAACAAAAAAAAACTAAATTTTGGCCAAGATTTATGAAGAAAGATTATTTATTTGCAAAATCTTATAAGAAAAACACTTTTTTTTTTTTTTCAAAATTTTTGAACTTTTTAATTTATATAGCAAAAAAAAAATAAAAATCCCAGTGGTGAATAAATACCACCAAAATAAAGCTTTATCTGTCTCAAAAAAAAATGCTAAAAAATTCATATGGGTACAGTGTTGCATGACCGCACAATTGTTATTCAAAATGTGATAGCGCTGAAAGCTGAAAATTGGCCTGGAGAGGAAGGGGGTAAAAGTGTCCGGACTTGAAGTGGTTAAGGGGGGTAAATCCTTTGGATGGCAAATGGGTAAAAGCAGAATAAAGTCAATGTTCATCTAATAACCTATATTGTTTGTTTTTTTTCTTTGTGTATGTTTTGCTTGCGCAGGAGATGGTTTTGCAGACTTCAAATCTTCTTCAGCAGATGATGGATTCACAGACTTTAAAACAGCAGACAGCATATCTCCTTTAGACACTCCGTTAAGAGAAACTCAGACGTCTCTTGGATTTAATACTGTCCCCACCCAGAAATCTCCTACTCAACTGAAATCCTCATCCGACCTTTCATTTTCTTCTGTAACAAGCAATGCCTTTCCAAAAACATTCCATGCACCCAAGCCTGTGTCATTGCCTGTGCCTGCACTTTCATTAGCAGCATCTTCATTACCATTCTCTTCCTCATCTTCATCCACATATGTTTCTGTGTCAGCTGTGCCTGCTAAAATTTCCTCCTTACTTGATGATTTTGGAGACTTTACACTTTTTGGAGGACCAGCCAGCACTACATCTGTTGGTAGCCAAAATGACTTTACGGACTTCTTGACAAGTAATAGCACTTCTGCTGAACAAAAAACTGGAGACAAATATGAAGCTTTCAAGCAGGAATCATGTACAGTTGATCCAGTACTCTCTACTGGTTTAAACCAAAACCTTCAAACCACCTCTTCAGCATCCAGTAATAAATATGATTTATTTGAAACACCTTTCTCTGGACAGTTCTAGCACAGGGTATGAGGAATCTAAAGATGCTGCCAGTCTCCCTAAAGACAGTGACTTTACATTCCAGTATGACAAATTCACTACCACCGAGAGCAACTCTGAAAAATCTTTTGTGGACAAGTTTGCTGCTCTCAAGCAAGCCAAAGAGGACTCCGTCTCTATTAAGTCATTAGACCTTCCTTCGATCGGTGGCAGCAGTTTTGGGAAGGATGACTCTGAAGATGCACTTTCTATCCAGTTTGACATGAAGTTGTCAGACTTGGGCGGGGAATTGAAGCATGGTATGTCTGATAGTTCTCTGGATTTGCCAACGGTTAGTGGTCAGCATCCGCCTGCTGCAGGTGAGGAATTGGTTAGATTGCTTTGGTAAAGGGACCATGGCTGTAAAACTAAACTAGATACCACATATTTGTGAGCTTTATGCTGTGGCAGTTTCTCTTTTTTCTTCTATATATCATACAGTGAAGATATCCCATGTGCACAGTATTACAGTAACTCCTTAGATATTTATTTAGCATGTATTCTATAATTATTTTCAATTGAGTTGGCAGAACAGGGTAGTTATTTATAGCTATAGAGAGAAGATGAGTGTGAGAGTGTAATTTTTGTTTACTTTTTTTTTTTTTTGTGATGTGGAACACTTCAGTATTATAAAGAAGCTGCATTTGTGCAATTGCTTCTGTTAAGTTCAGTGGAATGTGCAATACTCACCTAGCTGTGGTAACCTTTAACTGAATATGACCTGGTTCCATGTATGGTGGTGCTTGCTCGTACTTGTTTTGGACTATAAATTGATTCTGTGGGGGCACCTTGATATCTATACTTGTGGGGCAGGTGGGTTCAACGTCCAAAATCAAACTTTGCTCCCTCTTGGCTCCAAGCTCCTTCTTTTATCATTCACCTGTCAGATAATAGAACCTTGGTGGGTAGTAAATACTATGGCATTTTGACAGTGTAATGACAAGGGCAGGGGCGGACTGACCACTCGGGCTCTGCCCGAGGGCCCAGGGTCAGTAGGGGCCCCATGAAATGCCCCTGGTACTTTTTTTTTTTTTTTTTTTTTTTTTTTTTTTTTATAGGCTTTTTTTGGGTGTGGGCAAGGACACAGGGGCCTCATGATCCCCTATTGCCCGGGGGCCCCATGAGTTGTCAGTCCGCCCGTGGACAAGGGTTGGACTAAGTCCCAAGAGAGATGGGGCTTAATCTCAATTTAACAGTCGAGGCCTCATATATACCTTGGGCGTTGAATCTTTAGGGCTCCATGGAAAAGTGTGGATCAATTTGAAGACTAAAACTTGTATATGCAGGCAGTTCAGCTTTGTTACTCTAGAAATGTTTGTAGGGCTAGGTCAAGGTCACTTTAAATTACTAATGGCTATCCGAGAAGCAGTGTCTTTTAGCGGACAAGCTTTGCAAACCTTCCATGCAGTATCAGGGAGGATCTTTACATTTTGAGATCAGAACTAAAGACCTGCTGAGAGTGAAAATTTCAAAAATAACTTTACATGATGAATCTGTAAATAGAATGCAGATAAGGGGGAAAAAAAAATCACACATAAAAGGTGCCTAGAGGTTTTCTGCAGTCTTCTTATGTATCCATCCTATCTGTTTACCTGATGTTCACTGAAGTATATCTGTAAGGTTTACAGATAAAACTCAAAACACAATTTAAGTGTTTAATGTATGAATTGAGGGCACAGTATCTAACTGGACAGCCTTTAGTCAGTATTAATTTTTTTATTATGCAGATTTTTTTTTTTTTTAAAAGTGCCAAAATGCACAGTGTTAAAAAGATAGCTCTTTCAAGGTGTTTTGTAAGCAACTGTACTTCTAAAAATGACAGCTGCAGCAGTATTCCAGTTATAAAGTTTACAATAACGTATATTAAAAGAATCTCTATTATGGATTTTTTTTTTTTTTTTGTTTTTTTTTTTTTACTGTTGTGTTCTCCATGGAACAAATTGCATATGGTACTTTGTTCCATGAAGCTGCTGTAGGTGCTTTCTAAGTCTAGCTTTGAGGTCCAGGCCTTCTATCTGCCTGCCATAGCTGATCCAGCAACATCTCTGAAAGAAATAGCTGCTTCATAATGACAGCTTATTCCAGATGTGAGCACTTTTCACAGACCAGTAACTGCGGACAAAATGCAAAGGCATGAGGAAGGGGAAGCTGGCATTTGCATTCCTCTTGCCATTGCTTGTTTGTGAAAAGTGGTAACAACTGAGCTGTTATGAAGCAGCCTTCTGATTCCTAGCTGCTGTCAGATCGGCCATGGCAGGAGGGGGGGGGGATAAAAAAAATCAACCTCATAAGCACTCTTGATTGTGTTTCTTTGTTTCATCACCTTTCTTTGATACTTAACTTGGTACTAGACACTATGGTCTGCATGTAAATGTGCTGAAAATATAAAGGCGTAATGCAAAGGCAGGAAATTAAGGGATTCGTAAACTGAATATCTTTGTGTATTAACCACATACAGTACCTGTAAAAGGTGTTCACCCACAAACATTTTCATGTTTTATTGTCATAAATCATTAAACCAGTGGATTTAAAGCCTGAACTCCATGCAGATAAAGACACAAATTAATGCTGCACTGTATATATTTACACATTAAGTGTGGTTTTTGAATGCTAGCATTGGAAGTACTTGAATTTTGTTTAGGTGTTGGCCTTTTCTAATTTCTACTGCATTTCCTGGATTAAGGGAGGGAGATGCAGCGCATGGAGCCAATTGGGAGGAAAGGGCAGAGTGATAGAGGGATTAATTTGTTAGGGTGCTGCTTCTCCTTTCACTCTGGCCACATTCTTAAAGTATGAGACTTATACAGGAGTGTTATAATTTAAAAAAAAAAAAAACTACTTATCCAGGGACTAATTCGGGGCCCCAATCTACTTGCCCTCATGACAATCTACTTGTCCAGATAAAAAAAAAAAAATGTAATCAAAACCGTATTTAAATCGGATGTGATTTTAGGTATGTCTGGGGCTTTTAAAAACAAAAGAGGCTTTATGGCGACTTAAACGTGTAATATTTTTAACATTGTGCTGTTTTTCTCCTCCTCCTCCCCTCCCTGCCTGTCTCCAGCACTGCATCCAGGGACTAGCAGGGAGGAGAGACCTTGCAGTGTAATCAGCACTGATTGGCTGCTCGTCAGGAAAGGGTGGGTCAGGTCTTATACGTTTATCCCTTTTGCTGCCAGAGCCGTTTTTTGCACTCATTTAAAAAATAATTTTAGGCCTGAAGATTACATAAAACTCCCAAACATGATATATTTTGTGAAAGTAGAGACACTAGAGAATAAAATAGTGGTAGTTCCAATTTTTTTATGACGCATGATATTAACGCAAAATTTCAGTAAAAAATACAAGTGAGTTTAATTTTAGGGCACCAAAAAGCAATAAATTGCTTTTTTTTTTTTTTCTGTTAAGTATGTTAAAGTTGAGGTTGCAGCGAGTAAATAGATATCCAACATGTCAAACCTTAAATTTGTGCACGCTCGTGAACTGGCAACGAACTTCAGTACCCTATATTTTCTGTAGATCGGCACTTTTAAAGCTCCTCATAGGTCACCAGTTTAGCATTACGGAGGAGGTCTGGTGCTAGAATTATTAGTCTCTCAACAGGGACCCGGAAGTGACATCATAATATCACTTCCAGGTCATCACAAGAAGGGGAGGTGGAGTGGACTTGTCTGCTCTTCTCCCTCCCCTCTAGCCAACAGCACACCGGGCCCGCAGGTGGGCAAACGCAGCCCAGGAGACCTCACATCGAGGCGCGGAGAGGCTGGCACTGTGTGGAGTGCTGCCACCGATTGCTTCACCTGATAGGTGAGCCCTGCTGCTTGCCCACAGCAGGGCTAAAGATACAGAAACTACCTGCCCGGCGCCCGAAAATACATGTGTCAAGCGATAGGCATCCAACATCTCTGCTGTACATGCACAGAACTGTGCCATATGTGGCACTGTTCAAATCTTACGATAAATTAAGCTGCTTTTATCTATTAATTTTGCGTATATAGCAGTTTGCCTAAAGTTCAACTATAATTTTTTTTTTTTTTATGCTAATCAACAAACCTTCTCAAAGTCAAAACTGATTTCTGAAAATTGATTTAAATTACAGTGAAAAAAAACATAAAATAACTGGCTGCATTTGTATCTATCCCCGCCAACTCAGTATTTCTTGCTTTTGCCATTGCCAACAATTACAGTCTCGAGTCAGTGTGTGGATAGGTCTCTATCAGCATTCCACATTGTGTTACATGGGCATCCTGAGTAAACCTCCTTTTTTAGGTTCAGCCACAAATTCTCTCTTGGATTGAGATCTGAACCTTGTCTCTGCCATTCCAAGATATTAACATTTTAATGTCTTGTGTAGTTTGTGCCCTTAAACTTGAAGCCACTGTCTTGCTCAAAGACAAATTATGTGAGTTTTCTTTTTGTATTTTTGGTCCTTTTTGAAGCTGTAACTTGTGAAACATCCAGCAAAATTATGTCCATAAACTAGATTTGCCATAGAGGTATGTAACTTTCTTCAGGGTTGTTATAGGTCTCTTGGTGGCTTTTCTCATTGATGCCCTTCTGCAGTGGCTACTAACTCTGGTTGGACAGATTTACCATCATGCCATACTCTTTTTATGTCTTACTGTTTGTTTTTTAACTCTGTGCAGAGAAGGGAAGATGGACGCTGCTCATACCAATCCCAAGGAGTCAGCGAAAGATGCTATGTTGTGAGTGGCCTCATCCGTCACTCTGGCCATGCCCTCTGATGCGTTTCACTCCACCCATAGGGAGCTTGGTAACAGTAGCCTCTGTGACCAAACCCCCTATGGGTGGGGCAAAACACATTAGAGGGTGTTGCCGGAGTGATGGCTGAGGCCACTCACAACATAGCATCTTTCGCTGACTCCTTCAGATTGATAGGAGCAGCGTCCATCTTCCCTTCTCTGCACATTGTCAAGCCTCTGGATTAGCTTGGGACGCTGTTCCCCTCTTTCCTTGCCAGCGGGTGATCGCAATTTTTTCAGTGAATTGGAAATTTCCTTGTATCCATTTCTAACTTCTGCTTTTCACTAACTTTTTTTTTTTTTGTCATAGAATAGCTTGGACATTGTCATTATGGGTAGACCTTATATATATATATATATATATATATATATATATATATATATATATATATATATGTACGTGTGTGTGTGTATGTGGCCCTCCAGGTGTTGAGGAACTGTAAGTCCCATGAGGCCTTGCAAGACTCTTGACAGCCACAGGCTAGACTCGCAGAGGCATGATGGGACTTGTAATACTTCAACAGCTGGAGGGCCATAGTTCGGAGACCCCTGCTCTA